ATATCAAATAAGGTGATGACATCACCACAATGTCATAAATTTGGTACAAGTATTCATCTTGCATCAGGGTGTGTGCCAGTGGAAACTTTGATGACAATTGGAGATCGCCAAGTTACCAAAATTGTGCCTTGAAAATGTGTACAAAGTCAATGGGCTGAAATAAACATTAAAAAAATCAATAATAAATCACTTGATGATGTCATCAAGACGTCATTCTTTTGGGACCATCTATGCCTAAGGGTCCTTCATTGGTGCAAGTTTGATGAAGATATCATATAAGATAAGTTATCTGCAAAGTTTCAACCAGATAGAACATGTACTTCAGGAGATATAGGGCTTTAAAGAATGCACCTTTAGTATCACATGACTTGTTTCCTGATGACGTCATTATCACATGAGGTCCATGTGATAATGACGCCCTAGAACACTCCTTTTTCAAGATATCTGCAAGATTAGAACCTGATCGGACATTTACTTCATGAGATATAGGGCCTTAAAGAGTGCACATTTAATGTCACGTGACGTGTCTCCTGATGACGTCATCATCACATAATGTCAATATTTGCCTAAAGCACCCCCTTCTCAAGATATTTGCAAGATTTGAACCCGATCGGAAATCTACAGTACTTCAGGAGATATAGGGCCTTGAAAGGTACACCTTTAATGTCACGTGACGTGTCCCCTGATGACGTCATCATCACACGAGGTCAAAACTCCTCTAAAGCCCTCTGTTTTCAAGATATCAGCAAGATTTGAACTCAATCAGATATGTACTTCAGGAGATATACACTGTAGGATCTGCAAGAGTGTATTCTCCGTTGACATCAGTCTGCAAATTTCCCCTTATTTGCATAATCATAAATATGCATTACCACTCTTTAAAAAAATTTCTTTAATGATATCCAACATAACAATAATTAATTGCACATTTCAGATTTTCTGTGTACAAAATTTAAGAAAGTGATTGTAGGACCACTATAGATGACATTCATTGTACTATCCTGGACATTTTGGCGCAAAACTGAATTTTACTTGTGATAACTGCGACTACTACATACATGTATATGTAGTACTGTGTCACTGTGATATACACGCGGACACCACCCCACATTCATCAGCAAATGACGCCATGTGGGATCTGCAAGTTAAGGGTCTGGTGTTGTCATTGACTTCATCACCCATCCTGTTTGGGGTTCAGGACTTAATACGTCCCCACGCAGATCAGGTGTCACGCCCCTTTTTAAATCAAGGAAAAAGTAGAATCCATGCAAAATTAATAAAAGTTCACATTTTGATAATGTCCATTATAAAAAAACGATATATTGGTATTGGACAAAATACGATGTTGGCAGTGACTACATCAGTAGATGATTTCAAGAATACCATACCCAATCATATTCAATGGAATATTTTAATATTAAAAATTTAATAATAAATCACTTGATGATGTCATCATGACATAAATATTTATGTATTATCTTCACTTTATGGGGAAGGCTTGGAGTAACTTTGATGATGATCGAATATTGCTAAGTTACTAAAACAGTGTTGCCTTTGGCATTTAAGAAAGCCAGTAGGTGGTGGAAAAGGTATTTTGGATGAGTTTTTGGAATTTTTGAGAACTGTTGTCATTTTACTAGGAGTAATTGCAGAACACCGCACCACGTGAAAACACCCCCCTAAAAATCCATGGCTACGTAGTCAAGTTATCCTTGCTGCGACAAGCTTTAAGGTACAATGAGGTATGTGTTGAGTATAGTATTGAAGTCATTCTTGAGAATGAAGCACTCACTTGAATTATCATAAAACTCGCTCAGGGAAGAGTACAATTTCCAGGGATACGAAGTGGGCCTCATGCGTCCTGCAATGCAAAGTAAATGAGGAAGGCAAAAGATTTTTAAACTAGCGTGAGTCCCGGGGAGTGGCTACGGGGATATGAAGTGGGCCTTGTGGATGGAAGCGTGACTTCGTATCCGCGGCCATGAGGTAGGTAAGGCGAGTAGTGGGGTATTCTGCAATTGTGCCCTTTACTAGGCCTATAGGTCTTATGTAATGTCGTGGAGCCTTAGTATAACTATCCTGTCCAAATTCCAAAAAGAGGAATAGGGCCTACTAACGCTCCACTCAGTAGAGCTAGGGGGTGTCGGTCACTTCGCCCATTTTCCACTTCGCCCACAACCACTTCACCCACGGGCCACTTCACCCACACTGCATATATCTGACAGAATGCACCGCCAGGGCAGGTACATGTACCGTACCTTAACTTCACTTGTAAAAGTTAAAAGTTGCGTCATGTGTGAGACTTTAACAACAGCCAAAAGGAACAAGAAAAGAAACAGAAAAACTAGATGTAGATACATGAACAGAAATGACGATGGATCTGTTCAATCAAAATTTATGATTACACTTGTAAAGTACATACGCTGTACAGGAGGATTTTTATTCGATCTATTAATTCAACCAAAGAACGTGGTTGCAACGAGCGGATTCAGAATGTGTGAGACTTGTAATAATGGAAGGCCTACTTTGACAATGACAGAAATGGGATTTTTGAAGTTGCTCTATAAGCTTTATGACC